GGGCCGGCCCATAAAAACACTTTTATATTATGTGCTTAATGACAAAATGCTACCCATTTGGAATTTCGAACTGTTAGGTCTTGACGTGTTTTTGGACGCATGTTTTTGGACGCATACCTGTGTTTACAATCTATTTGACTTCAAACTTTTAGATAATTGTTTTGTTTAATAGTTACATTAATATAGGTTTTCCCTCCATTTAGTATAACTGAGTTACATTTGTAGATTCTAAAACCGAACAGCTAGTAATTATTTTTTTACAGCTTTATTGAAATATGTTCATATATCATGAAACTCATTTAGAATTTGTAATCCAGTATTAGAGTTGTGCAATCATCACCACACTTTGAGCCCATTTTAACATCCCACAGAGAAACCACATATAAGCCCTCCCCACCCTGGGTAACCACCGATCTGCTCTCTCTGTCTCTGTCAACACCACGCTCACCCATTGAGCTAACCGGCCATCCCTATATGGGATCCGAACCCGTGGCCTTGGTGTTATCAGCACCGCACTCTCCCGAGTGAGCCACGGGCTGGCCCTGCTCTCTGTGTCTCTGGATTTTCCTGTTCTGGACATTTCACCTAAGTGGGGTGTGGTCTTTTGTTAGTGGCTTCTTAGCTAAGTACATAGATTTCAAGGTTCTTGTAGCTTGTATCAGTACTTAGTTTTTTATTGCTAAATAGCATACTGAGTTGTATGTCCGTCTACCACATTTTGTCTATCCATTCATCCATTAAGGGACATTTAGGTTTGCATTTTTTAGCTATTACAAATAATGCTGGTGTGAACATTTGTGCAGGAAGTTGGATTGTGATGCTACTTTATTTTTATTGTTTATAGTTTGAAAAACAGTTCTTAAATTTGCTTAATTTATTCTCAATGATCTTAAAGGAAAAAGAAATGATTTCTTTCCCTTCACAAGAAGAGAAAAAGCCTCTGACTCGAGTGATCCATTGTCTCTTAGACCCTAGTCTTCCAGCATTTTCAGCAGGTTCCTTGGATGATCTCGTAATTGGGATCCTTTAATGTTTCCAGATCCATAAATGCACCTCCAGGAGAACCTCAAAAGTAAGACAACAGCGAAGGCTTCCGCTTCCAGGGGTGGTCCTTTCCGCTGGCATCTTCACACTCTAAGACCAAAGTCAGAACTGCC